AAGAATATCTATTTTTAACTCATATATAGATTACCTGCTAAATTTCCATAATATGATGATTATCTTTCAGTCGTTCTACATATATATATATTTCATACCTTTTCTTCTTCTTTTCTTACACTTATGCAATCCTTCCATCGGATGGCATGTTGATACTCTGACTCATATATTATATATATCACTTCATAGCCGCTCCGCTCTGTGCAATCCGGTCGTCAGTTCCCCCCAAGAATGAATTTCAGATTTCATCCCTTCATAATATAATAGATGGTATACTAATCTGTACCTTAACTGGGGTATTTGATGCGTATTTTATCATGTGTTCTTAGTTTTTTGATATTGGTGAGGGATTTATTCTCATTATACTTAATACATCCCCAATCTAAATCTTTATTATGTGCAAGGTATGTTAACAACTTAGCCTAGTACTTCGCCTTACACAGTAATATCCACAATCATTTTAATCTTCATGATGATGTTTTTAGATCATTCGATAATTTTTAGTTATCTTGGACAAAAAAGGGGTGCGGGGGTTGTCATGTATTTAGTTATATACGATGTTGATAATACTTCCCTTCGAAAGATAGGTCTATTGGTGTGCTTACGATTGCCTCTAGATCTATAATTCGCTCGCGTTCTCGTGGTTGTTTATCATGAAGGCTATGTCATTATCATTTATCGCACCGTTTATGGTGGCGGAAACTTATTTCTGCTTACAGCATGTTTCATTTTTTAGTGTTGCTAATATATGATTTTCTACTCTACCCCAAGTCCTGGTTTAAATTTTGTAACCACTATGTTTCGATCCTCAACCCTTCTTAGATTGGGGTTCATTTTTATATATATTGTATTTATTTATAGATAATAAGACATAAATATAGATCTATATAAATAGATAAGAAATATACATTTTGGGAGTGAAGCTTGCGATAAGGTTGCATATAGAAATTCAATTTAATATAGGTAAAAATTATACACACTGTAATATTATACATCATTAAGATAGCGGTCGCTATAGCTACATAACTCTACATTATGTTTAGTGGGACATTTTATACAGGTGAGACACCAATCTTGTTCTATTGTAAGCTATGTATAGGTGAGGGAAACTCAATTAGATATAATCAATTTCCAAAATCTTGTCTTTTTGTATATTATCACCAATGTCCTACTCTAAGTTTCCAATATAAAACTCGGTTCAGAGTTAAGTTCCCTCTTAAACACATACATCAGAGGTAGTGAGTATTTGGTAATTCAGCGCTATGATCTCGAACATGAGTCGATCGTGTTTTGACGCCTCTATTTATAGAGCAAGACATTACAAGGTCGACTTATAAATAATCTTTGTAAGACATTACTAGTATATGAATATGCGAGCAGAGAGGGATACACTGTCCTGGAACCATTCTTTCATAGATTTTGTAAAGGTGTCACTTGTGTTTTTATATTGACTTATATTTCTGTCTTTGATCGGAAAGTGCAAAAATGATATTGCTATTATTGCGATTGTTAAATATAATTATGGTTGGATTGTGTCATTTTGAATAGCTATATACTGTTGTTAATAGGGACGAAATAATGATTAAGGGATATATTATATTCGTTTTGAAGGCTAATAGTAAATATAAAAAGCTTGTCTGGTCGTTAAAATACTCCTACGACCGCAATTATATATAGAGTGTACTAGAGATTTAAGAATCGAATTACTATTTCGTAATTCACTTTGACTAACATGAGAATATGAAGATCATCGTTTTGTTGTTGGGGCAGAGTGGTGCATACTGGGTGAATATAATGACGAGAGACATCATAAGTTCAGAATTTTTTGCCTTTGAATTAAATTAATGAACATAAAATTTTAGTTTTACTTCAAAATGTTTATTAATGGTATAGCAGCAGCATTCTCAGGTGGGTTTAAATATATATAATATGAGAACGATTTTATATATAGGTAGGTTATTCCCATGGTATTAACAAATAGGTAATATAAACCTTCGCACATTTTTTTTATCGACAATAATTGTTTAATATGTTTCGCTATTAGGGCGCCATATGAATGAGTTCCATAGTGAGAAGTTTAGATTTGGGGTTTTCTTTTATGGATATTGATGGACTTTAAGGTATATATGTGGAGGGGAGTCTAAATAATTTGCCAAAGGAATTATACAAACTACATATTATAATAGAGAGTATATGAATAATTAACAAGAAAAATGGTGGGAGGTATAAACTCTTTTAAAAGAATACCAGTCAATGGTTTTTAAATACATTATAGAGAGATGAGAGAGAGCGTTATTATTAAATATCTACAGATACTTTCACTTTGTTCTTTTTTTGATAAGAACTGACGGAGGACAGGAAAGTGTCTAACCTCACACACCCTAAGCAAAAATATTATACGACTATACATATGGTTTTTACAAAATTTTTACAAGGTGCACAATAGAGTTCATATTCCTTACTATTCCCGAAAAGATTGGGCGCTGGAGTGTCTCTGCTGGTTCAGAAACGCTATAATAGTCTAAATTCCCGTGTCGAATACCCCTCTAATGCACTAGGGGAGGCAGAAAGCATAGTGACAGAACGCGCGTGCGCCCTGTTTAAAAATTCCATGTATCTCTAAAGGGTTCGCGCAGCCATATACACAAAACTTCACAATGTGGGAGGGAAGGAGAGATCACGACGCATTCAAAAAGTGGAGAGTAGGCGGTTATTTTATAGAGGGAGGAGGAAATTGTGGTGGTGGTGCTTCGCTAATCATACAGACGCATTATCAGTCCAGTCATACTTTGGGATGTATGCAATGCAGTTATTATTTCTTGAGAGGGAATTCGTCTATACGATAAAGTGTCGCTGGAAATGTGTGCCGTTAAACCACACAAATTATTAATAGGCGGTCTGAAGTCCATATATAATGCGAGCGTGGTGGTTGAGTGAGCTTAATTAAGCGAGAAATTTTCAAATCTACGTTCGCCACTCGAATATATACAAGAGCCTTGGAGCTTTTAGTGGTAGTTTAAGTGGAGTGAGGGTCCGTAGAGTATTATAGAGTATGAGTGACAGTGGGGCACGAGGCTCTCGGCGACAAGGCCATAACGTCCCGCGCGCCTCTTTGAAAGCTACCTTGCAGACTTTTTTAATCCATATATGAGTAAGCACCGGTAGGTTTTAGGCGGCCCTTTTATGTGTAATTTCTTCTCGTCACAATTATAATTATAGCTCGATCGGGATCGGTAAGCGACAAAAAAATTCTATCTTAGTTTTCAAGATACACTATGGAATGGGTAAGATGCCTGTCTTTCTAGCCGCGGAAGATTGCTCGATACCTCCTGATTCGTCAAAGTTGGTAGGTACCGGTATCGCCGTCAGCCTTCCTTCCATGTCGTGCTACATGCAGCTCCAGTCACCGCCGCTCTCTCCGTGTTATTCTGATATCAATGTGCAGGCGGGTGTCATAGACGCAGACTATAGAGGGGAGGTGAAGGTACTAATTAATAATCGGAGCAGTGGCAATACTCTAAGGGTGAGAGCTAAACAACCCGTAGCAATGGGCGTCGTGTACAATATTGCGTGTCCGATACGGGAAATTATCGAAATCAAACATCCCGAGAACGTTAAACCTATCGATGGAAATATGATCACTGTCATTAATGAATCAAATCTCTTTTATAAGAAGCAGAAAGACATGGGAATATTTTCAGTTTTAAGAGAGAATAATTTTCTCTTCACATTTTTCATGCAACAAGACTTACAATTAACACACAATATTACCAGATATGCACTGGAGTTTTTGTAGAGTTAAACACATTTAAAGAGCAGAATCTGATTGCAGATATTATGTCTATTAAGAAAGGTATCGATGTAATGTCTTGGGAGATTAACAGTGATACCGAAGAGATAGTGCTCGTGTTTAAAAATGACTATGCGTGGAAGAATATTCTCAAGAAGGGAGAGAGAATCATTTTGTGTGTTTGTAGTTCACTTGGCGGCGTTGAGAAAAGGTTGAAGAGTTAGATGTGAAGGGTAGAGGGTGTAGAGGTTTTGGAAGCACAGGAATGAAGTGACTGGATATCTACACGAGTGTTACGAAAAACCTCTTTATTATCATAAAAAACTAAATGATTATTTCATATATTAGATAGAAATTTTGGGTATATACGACACAATATAATTGTTTAAACGCCATTTCATCCAACTCGTACTACTTTCAAGATGGCGTGTATCCCCAAATCAGGTGTGGATGTATTAGATTGTGGGTATATATATATTCCCGGAAAGGATTGCTGTCGAAATAATATCGGCATTAAAAATGATATATCTACTGATGATGATATCGACATCTTCAAGACGTTCATCCCCGAACGGCGGGACGAGTTCGCGGTCCTGACCTTTCCCGATCACGAGAAAACATTATGGACAGATGAGGAGCTGCTCGACTTTAGGATCGAACCCGACTCGGTTGACCTCGTGTATTACACCTCGGCAAGAGGGGCACTTGCGATCTCTGCTGCTTCTGCGGATGCAATACAAGTCCAGACCGCTCTACGCGGAAATTCTCTACTTTGATAACGCGGCCGATGCAAACGTCGAAAGAGCAGCGCTTCAGAGCAGCATCGTCCTGACCTATAGTGTTCAGGACTTTATCGATTCCGTGGTGTCTTTACGAATATAGAGAAGAGTATATTCTTGACTCTGATCGTTGGAGTGAGGAGTGGGAGGTGGAAGATCGCGATTTCATATTTGAAAACATGCTAGTGCACCACGCAATAGTATGGGGCAATAATAATAATAATAATAATACTAACGACGCTAACGCCAAATTACGAAGGTCCTGGAGCGGTAACGGTTGTGCGCCGCCGCTGAAATGCCTGTGTCGCCAGTCGCCGATGCTGGGACAGCTGTACCGCGGGATCGTCTCCTCTCACAGAGAGGCGCTCTGGGGCGATTCCAAGCGTGCGGTCATGCCCGCATTGATCGGCAGGCAACTAAGCATCGTAAATCTAAAAGAGAGAAAGAGCGTTTATAGCAGACATGCATTCGCAAAAGAATGCATGGTTATTCTGTTATTCGCACATCCTACAAACATATATTGAAACACCAATGATATATAAAGCCTTTGTTAACATTATACCATTCTATGGTGTGCCATATTATGAAAATGGAGAGGGTAATGATCTCTCAAATGATGATTATGAACTGGAAGAATTTATTGGAGATGCTGCTTTTGTAATAAATGTCTGGCAATATCTTTCTGAAAAATATTCCAAGTCCTACAAACCTTCGGTAAATCCTATTATCAGGCACCTTCATCAAAAAAAAAACTTGGAGATGAAAAAGAAATTCGAGACAACAATTTATCCTAACGTTTCTTTCCTGTCCGTGGTGGTCAACGATGACGACTATTGATAATCTTCAATAAATATAAATCTCGAGAATCCCCATTGTTTTCTTTTCCATCTGTGGTCCGATTGATAGTGTAACAAATAAAGGTATTTAATAATTATAAAACAAATATTTTTTTTAGACTGGAATTAAGGGTGAGTGTTACACAATTTAATTATTTAAGCATCAACTCGTTCAAGCTCGCATGTTTTTAAGATGAAGGATATTTCTAAATCGGGAGTTGAAGTGATACAATACTCGTATTTGTATTTCCGTGGAAAAAGTTTTCCATTTAATATTAATATTAAATTAGACTGTTTTACTGACATTAACATCTTCGAAGCATTCATCCCCGGACGGCGGAACGAGTTTGCAGTCCTAACCTTTCCCGAGCACGAGAAAGAGTTATGGACAGACGAGGAGCTGCACAACTTTAGAGTCGAGCCCGACTCGGTTGACGTCGTGTATTACACCCTCGGCAAGAGGGGCACTTGCGATCTCTGCCTGCTTCTGCAGATGCAATACAAGTCCAAACCGCTCTACGCAGAGATTCTCTACTTTGATAACGCGGCCAATGCAAACGTCGAAAGAGCAGCGCATCAGAGCAGCATCGCCCTGACTTATAGCGTTCAGGACTTATCGATTCCGTAGTCGCTTGTTACGAACAAAGAGAAGTGTATACTCCGACTTGTAGCGTTCAGAGTTATATATCAATACGCTATCATCTAACGAACATAGAGAAGCGTATTATGACTGGGGTGAGGAGTGGAAGGTGGAGGATCGCGATTTTTATTTGAAAACATGTTAGTGTACCACGCAATCACAACGATAACACAAAATTACGGAGATCCTGGAGCGACAATTGTAGTGCGCTGAACTGCCTGTGTCACCAATCGTCGCAGCTAGGACTGCTGTGTCGCGGGATCCTCTCCGGTCGTAGAGAGGCGCTCTGGGGCGATTCCCAGCGTGCAGTCCTGCCCGTATTGATTGACAGGCAACTGAATATCTTGAATCTAAAAGAGAGACAAGTGTTTTTAACGGACATGCGAAAGAATGCATCGATAACAATATATAGTCCATCGGAACATATAGCAACATCAATGATATTCAAGATTTTTAACATCATACCATATTACGGTATCCAGTATTATACAGATTGTAATATTTTGCTTAACTTTGATAATGAAGATGATGATGATTTATGTTGGAGTTTTATTGAAAACAACAATATGGTGTGGAAATATATTGCTGAAAAATATTCCAAGTCTTACAAACCTTCGAAAAAAAAACATCTCGAGAATTATCATCAAAAACTCTTACAGATAAAAAGGAAATTCGAGATGGAATTTACCCCAATGTTTCTTTTCCATCTGTGGAAATAATCAATAGTGAATAATTCGATGTTAGATAGTTATTCTGATGATGCTAAACATTTCTTCCAAAATGTCGATTCGATTTTTTTTTTTTTTAGAAAGAAAATACAAGTGATGAAATTTTTTGAGTGAGGGGGTATGATAAACATTTTAACCTTAAAATAATAACTCTTTTTACCAATTCAAACACTTGAAGCCCTATAAAGGATACTAACAGTAACAATGTTAACATTTATATCGAATCACTGTTCGGGAATACATAATACGAGATTTGTTACAATAACATATGGATATCTATATTTTCCTGAAGAAAAATATGATTATTCGCGCGAAATATTAAAACGTTATGGAAGATATAATGACAAGTTTATCCGCGAGCATCGAAGCGAGTTTGTCACCCTGACCTTTCCCGACGAAGAACGCTCGCTCTGGACGGACGAGGAACTGCGCAACTTTTCGATCGACCCGAAATCGGTGGATTTGGTGTACTACATTCTCGACAGGAGAGACTCGCTCGATTTCTGCATGCTCCTACGAACGCATCGCGGTTCCAGACCCCTCTATGCGGAGATCATTTATTTTGACAACGGAAGCGAAGCTCTGACTATGACGGGAAGGAGGTGTGATGGTGATGGTGAAGAAGAAGGAAGGAGGAGAAGAAGAAAAGGAGGAGGAGGAGGAGGAGGACCCTTTCAGAGCAGCATCACTCTAACCTACAGCGTTCAGCGCTTCCTCGATCATATCGTATCTAATTACGACCATTCTTCCCTCTATTGTTGTATGGGGTTGACGAAACGTGGGAGGTGGAAGATCGCGACTTTATCTTTGAAAACATGCTAGCGTGCAATGCTATAGAAGGAGGTGACAATGCCAATATGGCGTCGCCATGGAGACGGCGGCAGCCGTCCTCACTGAAACAGCTCTGTTTTGGAGTCGTCTCCGTTAACAGAGAAGCGCTCTGGAACGATTCCGCGCGGCGGACATATTGCCCGTATCGGTTCTCAGAAAACTGAAAGAACACATTAGTATCAAAAACCGACTCGAGAGAAAATTATTTATAAAATACATGTTAAACCAAAAAGATAAAAAAGAAATCAATCATAAACATAAAACACGTAAAATATTTAGTAATATTATACCATTTCTTATAGGCTTCAATGATGAAGTATATGAATATTACTATAATAATCGTGATATCCCTATAATGTATACTGAGTGTTGTGGGTTCAATTTCGTATGGAAATATATTGCTGATAAGTATTTAATAGAAAACACATCCTCCGGAGTTACTTATAAAATAGAAAATATACCGACTGGATTTACTGGATTCGAAAAATTTTATCAGGAAAAAATAAAAAGGAAAAGACAACTCGAGAAGATGTATTATCCCAGAGTTAATTTTCCATAATACAATATATGTATGTATGTTTATATGTGTATATGTGTTAAAAAGTATAAAGGAATAATACAATATTGTTATCATTTCTTCCAAATATAGTCAAGAAAGAGTTAAAGAATACAGTATTGGATTGAATTATATAAATAAATAAAATCACATATTATCATTTATCTGATAGCTTTAATCGGTTTCATTGACATATTCAATCGTATCTTTTATAGTATTTTTATATATACATTTTCTACAATCCTTATTTTTCAACGTCAATAGCATCATTGTTATTTTTTTTTCTTATATTTTGGTATATCCCGAGGAGAGTCCATTTTATTATATTGGGTTTATAACTAAGTGATTTTAGGTTATTATACATTCTTATATTGATATGTTTACTATTCTAGACATCATACTTGTATATTTCTATACTTATATTACCATAACCCCCCACCCCCCTCCCTTCCCTTGACTAAAGAATATTATTCTTGTCTAACTTTGATAATCGATAATGAGCCACAAAAATATCTCGATATATCTCTCTTCCTGCCTCCAATTTTCACCAAGATGATTAAGTGTAAAAACATAATAGTATACGAAGAGAGAGCATATATATATATATATATATATATATATATATATATATATATATATATATATATATATATATATATATATATATATATATATATATATATATATATATATATATATATATATATATATATATATATATATATATATATATATATATATCCCGTTGAACGAGAAAGGTCATCTTACGGACTCTACCAACAAAAATTCTTCTCTTAGGAGGGGGTGTAAGCAAAAAACGTAACATTGTAGGAGAGTACATATCCTGTTGAATGAGATACAGAGCAAACGCTTTATAATATCAGCATCATCAACAGCGTCTACC